CCTGAATCAATATCAACTCCACAGTAGTTGACCACTGTATGCCAGGCACTGGGGATATAGAAATGAATAGGGCCCTTGTCCTCATTGCCAAGTTCTTGTCCATGGGTTAGGAATTCTCTTAACATCCCTTAACATTTATTCATCTATTCCAGATACTAAGACTTATTATTAAGGCTAACATATATACCAAAAAAAAAAAAAAAACCTAAACTCACCACCATCAAGTTGATTCCAACTCATAGGGACCCCATTAGGTTTCTAAGGCTGTAAATCTTTATGGAAGGAGACTGCCTCATCTTCCTTCTGCAGAGCAGTTGGTGGGTTTGAACCACCAACCTTTTGGTTCACAGTTAAATGCCTTAAGCATTGAGCCACCAGAGCTCCATAATATATAAAAATGACTTCAAACAATTTAGAATTCTAGAATACTTGTGGCCTGACAAGTGTTTAGAGACAGCATCTCTTAAATTGTTGCCAATACAACAGAGATCCCAAGTTCTGTAAGAGAAAAAGTTTACTAACCAGAAAAAACCCAAACTCATTGCCATCAAGTTGATTCCAACTCACAGCAACCCCTATTGGGTTTCCAAGGCTATTAATCTTCACAGAACCAGACTACCTTATCTTTCTTCCACAGAGCAGCTGGTGGGTTCAAACCACTGACCCACTGGTTAGCAGCGAAATGCCTTAACCACTATACCATCAGAGCGCCTTTAAAGTTTACTAAAGGTATGGCAAATTCTACTAACAGTCTTTTAGCAGAAATGTGAATAAATTTACTTCGGTGTTTCTCAGTTCTAGAATTTACTTCAGCATTCAACAATATGAGTGTTACTGAATGAATGAAGCAACTACTTAATGAAGAAATCAACTAGAACTTTTGATTCAGTCTATAAGTATTAAACCATGTTACACTGAGAATTAAGTCACGTGCCTTCTTTACCATCAAGCATAAAGGTTTTTTTTTTTAATTGTGATTTGGGTGAAAGTTTACAAAGCAAATTCACTTTCCATACAGCAGTTCACACACATATCGTCTTATGACATTAACTACAATTTACCCCAATGCAACAGCTCCCCTCCCTTTTCCTCCCAATAGTTACCTCTTCCCTGTGTCAATTCCTCCATTCACCCCTGCCCCCTGAGCTGTCTCCCTGTACATAAACAGCCCTTCTTTCTTCCATAACTGTTCTCTCCAAGGGGTGTATCTACCTCAGGTAAATGTTCAACTCATATGCCTGTCTTTTGTTTGGCTGGAAGCCACAGGTGTGGGTTCAATTCCAGACCTGAAGGGCAGCTAGGGGCCATAGTCTCAGTGGTTCCATCAGGCTCTATCAGACCAGCAAACCTGGTCCCCCCCCTACTTTTTTTTAAGCATGGAGTTTTTTATTGCAAGTCCACAGAGAGAAGTCTTTGGATGGATGTGTGGGGCTCTGGTTCTCTTCAACCCATGTATGAAGCCTCAGCTTGGGTTGGAAATATTCCTGTAATTATGTCCCGCCCTGGGCCCCCCACATTGCTTCAAGAGGCCCAAAGGTATGTGAAATCACAGATCTAGAGAACCAAAGAGTCCTTGAAATTTGGAGTGGCTGATGGTGTGGGAAATGAATGTCAAAGAAGGAACATGCAGCCAGAAGATGTGGGTTCAAGTCCTAGTTCTAGCACCTAATAGCAAGTAACATACCCTCAAGAACCTCAGTTTCTTCATCTGTAAAATGACAAAAACAACATCTCATTTATGAAATTATCAAGATAAGATGAAGTAATTTAAATAAATGCACTTTCTAAACCATGACCTCTTCAATTTATAGGCCTAAGAATACTAAAGGTTAGAAGGTCAGCAGTGGCAGACAGACGTGATAGCCCAGGTCAACCACAGAAGGACTTATAGTGAGCCTGTTCTGTCTCACACCTCCATACCCAGCTCCCCTGCCCTCCCTTCCTGTCACACACTGAGCTGAGAAGCCGTGTTGCCTCAGCCCAAGGGACTGTGTCATGCCCCAGCACCTGTCACTCCTCCTGTGCACAGGAAGAAATGTGAGGTGACACCTGGAGATCAGGTGGGAAGTAGAGCTGTCAGTACTGTGGGTGCAGGTGTCAGGAACTCATGTGGCCTGGAGAGGGTGCAGTGGGGGCAGTGACAAAAGCACCAGCCCAGGATCAAAAAGCACAGCTTCAACTCCTGCATCTGCCATCAAGAAACAGGGTGATCTTGGGCAAATTACTTAGCCTCTCTGGGAACTAGACAATTAATATCTAAAATGGGGCCATCATGCCTGCTCTGCCTGCCTTACCAGGTTGGTATGAAGCTTATATACTATTATAGCATATTTCACCAAATCTAAGATCTCATCAATTTTAAGAGGCTCCTTTATTTTATATATCACTAAGAAGACAGGAGAGAGAAAGCAAGAGAGAGAGAGAGTTACCAATTAAACTATATTACGTCACTATTATAAGACTCATGAGTAGTGAGAGTTCAGAGGTGGAATTCTTCCCTTCTGAGAGGAAAACCTGGGTTCAATTCCCAGCCAATATATCTCATGTGCAGCCACTAGCCATCTGTCAGTGGAAGCCTGCATGAACAGGTTTCAGTGGAACTTCCAGACTCAAACCAGTAAGAAAGGTCTGGCAATCTACTTCTGAAAATCAGCCAGTGACAGCCTTATGGATCACATGGTCCAATCAGCAAGTAATCATGGGGATGGCACAGGACTGGGTAGCATTTTGTTCCACTGTGCATGAGGCTACCATGAATCGGGGGCCGACTCAATGGCAGCTAACAGCAGCAACACTGTAAGACAGAGGCTGATTCTACAGATGTTCAATTGTGAAAACGCCACATCTTAGAATTGATATAATGTGGTAGATGAAAGCACTATATGTAAATGGGGGAATAAATATGATTATTATGCAGCCACAAAAAGGAATGAAGTACTGATACATGCTCCAACATGGCTGAACCTTGAAAATATTATGCTAAGTGGAAGAAGACAGACACAAAAGATCACATAGTGTATGATTCCATTTATATAAAATATCTAGAACAGGTAAATCTATAAAGACAGAAAGTGGATTAGTGGTTGTCAGGAGTGGGTGGAGGGAAAAATGGGGAGTAATTGGTGGCATAGTGTCTAAGACATTTGACTGCTAACCAGAAGGCTGACGGTTCAAACCCACCAGCCACTCCTCAAAAGGAAAGTTGGGCAATCTACTTCTGTAGTGACACCACCTCAGAAATCCAAGGAGGGGTCGCTGTGAGTTGGGTCTGACTCAATGGCAGTGAGTTTTGAGTTTTTTTAACTGCTTACTAAGTATGGAGTTCTCTTTTGGGGTAATGAAAACGTTTTCGAACTAGACAGAGCTGGTGGTTGCACAATAGTGTGCATGTACTTTAAAACAAAAATAAATGGACTACAAGAAATTCAGATGGGCTCTGACACATAAAAACTCAGCATGACTAAGATTCCCCACAATCTTAACATATAATATCTATGCATTATGCAACTTTTCCTCTAGACAGAATCACAACACTTCTAAATGGCTCAAATTCACATGTAAGCCTTTCCTAATACACCAGATTATATATTTTAGTGGCATTTAAAACATCACCCAGGTATCTGTGTTTTCCATGACAACATACTTCTGTAACATTATATATTAATTATTATATCTATATATCAAATCCCATTTAAAATGCAGTAGTAAAATTTTCTATTAAAAAAATTTGCAGAAAATCCTTTTGTAAGGCAACAAATTTACTGAAACATGAATGGTCATCCCCAGTTACTTATCTATTCCCTATATTGAGGGGCTTGCTGCTTATATGCTTCCATGTACACGTTTTATTCCATTACATCTTCTGCCTTTTCTCTTTCACTTAATCACAATTGGCAAAAAGGTTAAAAATATGATTATTATGTCCATTTCACAAAACAATGAATATGTGCAAACATTCCCAAACCTTCTCAGACTTCACCCAGCCCTGTCCCTCTGGCTACTCCCTGGGTGAGTGGAGGTTCCTTTTTCTCTCTTTAAACACTCCCTCTCATTTTGATTAGTCATAATGGCTGGTTATGTATCTCCACTCTCCTCACCTTTATACTCTACTCTCTTTTTCCCTTACAGGTTTGAACTACTTCTTTTAGGTAGCTGGGTAAGGGAACTTCCATGAACACCTGGCATAGCACATGGGACCCCTCACAGAGCTTAGACTGCTCTCTTCTTTGCAAGCACCAAAAGCCACCTGACACAGAGACCAGCAGTCTCTCCAGAAAGGCACAAAGCCCAGTGGGGCATGTCCATTACCACCATTCATAAGGCTCATCACAGATGCCACCAACAGCATTGAATCAGCCCAATACCGTAGTACTGCATTCACACCAAAAGAACGATTCGTCAAATATCAAAATATGTCACTACTGTCACATATGCTGCCTATGACACCAGGCCAGACCTAATGTAGTATTCATATATTAATTTCCAAAAGAATGATATATCCAATGTTTAAATGTGGTTTAGTTGTATACCTTCTCATATTAATCAATCTAAAAAACACACACAAAAAAATTGTTGTCAGGACATGAGTCTCAGTAATCAGTTCAGAAAATCTGGCTGAGTATCTTCAACCACTCAAAAACTTTGCATCTCTTGGCCCATCTTTTGCGGAGACAGCTGCTTGCTTTAGTGAAAAGGCTGACTAGGAAATTTTGCCCTCCCCAGGGAAATGTGTGTTCAGCACTAGCCACACGAAGAATGAGAAACTGAGAAGCAGCAGCCAGACCTTACTGAGAGTTCCAGGGCCTCTGTCCAATGTCACATGCATCTCCACAGAGCACCCCACCTCCCTTGTAGGTGGTCACCTGTCAGCTAGCCCTGTGGAGAATCTTATCCTTCAACTTCTATCCTTACAGATGCTGTCTTTACATCTCTGGCTCCCCTGCACCAGCCACTTCATGGCACCACAGGGCCCCACACAAAGAAAGAGGAAGAGTACTCACCCACTGAGGACCACGATGAAGTCCATGACATTCCAGCCATTGCGGAGGTATGAGCCCTTATGGAAGATAAACCCCAGGGCCACAATTTTGATTCCAGCTTCAAAGCAAAAGATGCCAATGAAATAGGGCTCTGTCTTCTCCTGTGGAGACAGGGAGCAAAGACAGGGACTTGTCAGACACAGGCAAAGGCACATACCAGCCACCTCCACTGCTCAGACCTTCTTCTCTCTCCTACAGGAACACCTGGACATCTGTGCTAAGCTAGCCCCATGTGTAGATGGGAAGTGAGGATATGAAGGATGAAAGGAAACCTCGGGCTGCAAGCTCTCAGTGATTCATGACATGTACAAGAGCAAAGGAAACCCCAGAGAACCACCTGTAGAGACGACAGCATGGGGGTTACACCTAGGGACCAGACTTCCTTCCCAGGAAGGTCATGAATTATCCTGGTTTTGCCCTAAAGGGTTAGTTTTTCCACTGCTAGTCTTCCCGTAAGTTGGAAGCTTAGGTGTTCTCCTCCAAGGGTTTCAAGCACAGACACTTACCCACACATTTGGATTTTAAGCTCTCTTTAATTTGTTTGCTCTCTTTAAGGGGAATACATTAGACATGTTAATCATTTCTTTAAGGAGAATATGAATGTAAGTGTTTAGGAAGTTCATGCCCATGAACACACATAGGCTTTAAGCATTCTTCATCCTATCTCCTATATTTTCCTCATCCTCTCTCCCCATTTCAAAAGTCCCTTGGGAAGGGGGAGAGAAACAAATGACTCCAATGCCCATTATTCAAGTGTTTGCAATACCCTCAAAACTTCCTGGGACTGGGGGTTTCAAAGCTTAACCTCTTTTCCTCATGAATCCCAATCGAGTTTGTCATTAACTTGTCCTTCAGCACAGGACAAACGCCTATATAAGGTAAGGAAGGAGGGAAGGTGAGAGAGATGGAGAGAAGGAAAAAAGGATCCAAGGGAGACAAAGAGAGGGAAAGAAGGTGAGAAGGAGGAGGCACATACCAGTCTGCGGGACATTGGTGTCTTGTCATCCTCCGGAAGATGCTGCTCCAGAGCCAGGACGATGCAATTGGCAATGATGGTGGCCAGGATCATGTACTCAAACGGCGTGGGAAAAGGGTAATTAAGGAGTAAATTCACCAAGTAAATTCACTTGGAGGAGTGCTGCCTCCAAGGCGGCCACGCATATAAATACACAAACTATGTCAATCAACACTGTGCACATGCAGTTTGCATGATTTGTATCAGTTTAAGAGGCAGCCTGAACACTGGATGGTCCTTGGCATATCAAACCATCACTGCTTCTGACTGGCCTCTGAACACAAAGGAACCTTTCCAAGAAAAGGAAATATGAAGTCAATATATAGATAGATGTATGGCAGACAGTTTGGAGAGATCTTAGTGAATTCAGTGACATATCTGGGAATTAGCCAGGGCTGAAAATGAGGGAAGAAGGAAGGAAGAAACATGATCAATGCATTTCAGGCCCCTAGTTTTTCCCAGTCTTTAAAGCACTAGATGCATAAAGATGCTTTCACAAGGATCCAGCTGTGCTGGTCTTGCTTTCTCTGGGAATCATATCAGAAGACCCTCCTCTAGGGCCTCTAGTCAACCAAGCAAAAGAAACAGTCTTGGAATAGAAACAATTCTCTCCACGTGAGCTCTCTTCTATTTCAAAATGTAATTCATAAAAATAGTTAGTGGGGCCAGGAGGTGCTTGCTCTGTCCCACCTTATTTTCCTCTAAGCTTGGACAGCTATAGGAACCAAAACCCACAACGTGAGACTGAACCCAGCATAATGTAAGCCACACTTCTAGAGACCACCCCACAAATGTGTGGAAAATGAAGTCAGGCTTTATTCTGTTACATTTCTCTGAAGACAGGTGAGGGGGCTCCCCGTGCTTTTGTGAAAAACAGGCTATGACTCAAGCATCAGCATCCTGACTCCTGCGGAACGGTTTTGTCGCAAACTCAGGGGAAAGGAGGAGGGGGCCTCTCAGAAAAGAGGGACTCACCAGCTCCCAGTGTCAAGTCATTCTGTACATTTGATTTCACTCTGTAACTACTGTTATGACAAACACAAGTGAGCTGTTGCCACTGGTCTTGCTGAGCAACCTGTGCTCTGGCAGCTTCTGAAATCCAGGCAGGAGGGAAGAGTAGTAGTTCTGGTGAAGTGGGAGAAGGGAAGGGGCCCCACATATCCAGGTTGGCTGTGTAGGATGCAAGGCCCAAAGCCCTTCCTAGGGAGAAAATCATAAACATGTCCTGTGATGCCCCACCTCCCCATGACATTTGTATCAAGGGTAAATGGACATTCAAGGCAGCTCTGAGGAAAGGCAGGCATAGGGCAGTATCCAGGCTGAGGTTGTGTATGCAAGCTCACATGCCCTACAAGTTGCTCTAGTCCAGGTACCAGGATGGGAGGCTACAGGGAGTGAGATAACTGGCTGCACCTGAGCCTCGGGTCCTTTTCCTTCTTGTTGGGATTTGCCAGCATCGTTTCCTTCCGCATTACCATGAGTCCCTGAGTCACAGCCCCTTCGCTAGCAGCTAGTTGTCCTTCCTTCCCACGCACCTCCAACACACACACAGGATCCATTCCCTAGGGACAGCTATGCTAGCCTCTGATGCCCTGTGGCTCAGCCCTTGGATATGAAAACTGGACAGGCCTCAGAACACCTTGGAGCCAGCCCCCTGCCTCAACATCCCACTCTGCTTAAACCCTCCCAGGCACTGCATGGAGATGCCCTCCACACACCTTGGCATCCCTCTTCCTTCAATCTTTCTGGGTGGAACCCAGCCTCTGAGAGCTAAACATGCAGGCAGAACACATTATCACAGATGTCTACTTCTCAGGGGGATTGGTACCCCCATCCTTCCCACCCAGGGCCCCAGGCCTATGATCCCAAGCATAGTACTCCTCCCCACCCTCATCACAGCTCTAACCCAGAGCTCTGAACAAATGTAGGGCAACCAGGAGCCACACTACTACCTGTGTCCCATAAGCCCCAGGGACAGGCTAGGTTGTCCTGGACCTGGTTTGGAATTCCCAGACCCAACTGGTAAAGTGAAAATGGGTCCTGAGAGGGAATTGGTAAAAACAAACTTGCAAGTCAGAGACAAATAATACTAAAAACTGAAGACATTTAAGGCAGTGTTCCTATAGTGGAGAAATGGAATACCAGTGCCACAGGAACTTACAAGCAAATACATGAGGGAAAGCCTGGAATAAATGACATTAAGCATGTTTCTTCCCAGAAAGACTTCTTGGAGGCTTTAACACTAATGTATATAATCTGCATTTCATCCTGCAAAGGGCCTTGAGAACAGTACACAGCCTTTCCCAAACTTGCTTCTCCAAATAACCTATTTTCCAGAGCATCAGTCTAGGAAATAGTGCTTGTAGGCACATATTTGGGAAGCCCCGAGACACAAAGCAGGTCTCATTGCCAGTCCCCAAGAGTGTGTGTGTGTTGGGGGGGAGGGGCTGGTGGCCATAGGAAAAGATTCCCCCACTGATATGAAACCAGTGCCTTCTTCTCATGCCCATCCTCATTCCTAACAAATACGTTCCCTATGACTGTTCCCCAAGGCTTAGCCTGAAACCTGGCTAGGGATACCCCCATGCAAGCCCAGAAACCTGCTCCACAGACTCAGAGTTCAGCACCTAGCATGGGATGTGGGACTGGGAACACACTTGCACTTTCTCACTCAAGCCGCTGACATCACTAGCTCTCACTGATCTGCTGGGGAATGATGGTTGCTTTTGAGGATTGAGTCATCTTCCCCTGCAAACCTGACAGTGATAATCATAAGTTTAAAAGTAAAATGGGCTTCCAGGTGATGAGCCTACAGGTAAGCCAGGTCCTGGCAGCTGTGCATCTCCAAGGCCTTTCCAGTGGCAATACTGGCTTGGGCTGCCGCAGCTCCCCTGCTACCTTCCATGCCTTGCTCCCACTTCCACACCTCCATTTTCCCACCCAGATAATCTAATCATAGAGCTCCCTGCCAGGACCTGGAAGTTCAATTAGCCCAGAATGCCTAAGTGCAAATGTCCAAGTGATGGCCTGGCCATCAATACTTCAGAACACTCAGGGTAAAGACTGGCTCTTGCCCCCAATGAGCCACACTGTGTGTTGAGTATCTGAATGGCTGAGAATTCTTGAGGTCCCAGAGACTGGCACCTGAAGGGCATGAAGGCTGAAATCTAAAGGTGGGAATGTGGTAACTCACAAGTTCTGAGAAGACTACATTTCTACTTCTTTCCTCCGCAAACCTTCTGCCTGCAGTCTGATGATTAAGAACTCATTCAGAGCAGTAATCCTTGGGCTTAAAAATTTGAAACCTGCTCAGATGCACACACCCCTGAGAGGGGTGTCCCTGTAGGTCTTATAACACATCTAGACCTCAGGAAGATTTCATATCTAGACAATTAAGAATCTGAGATAAGATTTTAGTTTAGAGGAAAGGTGAAACTACAAGGATTCTGTACATCTGTAGACTAGGTGAAAGAGAGGATGGGACCAAAGAGGTCTTAGGAGAGCAGAGCAGAAGAGAACATCCAATTCTACCTAGACACTGGACATTCTCCATTACAACCCTTTCCTTTAACTTCATCTCAACATTCCTTTCTGAAGAAAGCACAAGAAAGGACCTACTTAAATCTGTGTGCTGTTGCCTCAGCCTGCTGTGGCCTTTACACTCCTTTTCTGTCAGATGTTAAGACCAATCTGAAATTCCACCTCACCTGTGATACTTTCTCCCTGAGGCCTCTAGCCCTTTGACATGTGGAATTTTATTATTTCTTCTCTTATTTAACTTCCACAAGAAATTATACCTTGAAAGCAATGGCCATGTTTCATTCATCTCTCCCCTAGCAGTGCCTACTAGAGCTCTTGGTACACAGCAAGAGCTTAATCAAAGTTAAGTAAATGTCTGAATGAATGTGAGGGATCCTCTTGTGGAGCAGCTCCAATGAGGAGTCATTATAAAGACAGGATTGTTGTCACTCAGTTGGGCGCAGGCCTGGGACTCCTGCTGAATCCCACTCTTAGTAGTGACTCAGAAGTGACACTCCCATTTCTTCCTGCTAGTAGAACTTCAAGCCCAACAGCAATGGCTCTGCTACATTCCAACAAAAAGAGCCTAGACCTGAATTATGGCCCATAGGTTCAACAAATGCTCCTTGTAGGTTAGACAAAGATGTGACTTGGAGAAGTAAAAAGAAGCTCCAAGTTGCCACGACCTCAAAGAACACCATTTTTCATGGCCATCACCATCAGGGGCAGGAGGAAGGTCTGTCTAGGACTGTGATTTTTCCTGCCCAGGAGTCCAGTGATTCCCATTACACTCTGTGCCTTACACAAAACATATTTTAGTGAATGATCAAGATCTATCCCTGGCAATTATTTGTGCTCTGAGATCTTGAACAAGCAGAGCTAATGGAGAAGCAAGGCATGAGAGCCTGAGGGCAGGAACTTTGCCCACCTTATTCACTTGGCACAGAGCAAACCAAAACACCTAACTAGTTGCCATCCAGTCGATTATGACTCATGGAGACCCCACCTGTGTCAGAGTAGAACTGTGCTCCATAGGGTTTTCAATGGCTGATTTTTCAGAAACAGACCACCAAGACTTTCTTCCAAGGAGCCTGTGCTTAGACTCGAGCCACCAACCTCTCAGTCAGTAGCCAAGCTCTTAACCATTTGCACCATGAAGGGATTCCTTGGCACACAGTAGGCATTCAATCACTGCTTTTAATTAAAGAACCAGTAAATCAATTGATAAATGACTAGCATAGGGAAACCAGAGCCAAAGGTATCCTTATAAAAAGGTATCTCATACTTTTTCTACATTGCATACTCATTTGAACTTTTGTATTTCATACTTTGTACATACATTGCCTATTCAAAAACAGACACTAGTGTGCATAGACAACCCATTTAAGGTAAAAGGAAAAAAAGAAAAATATAATTTGTCTTTCTAGAAGGATAATGAGTTACCTTTGGGTAGCAGGGTTATTTTCATGTTCTCCTTCACTCCTTTATGTATCACGTTCGTGAGTATTATTGAGTATATATTAATTTACAATCATAAAATCAATCAAA